AGGCCCTGGAGGAAGCCCACTCAGCCTGCCTTTCTGACAAGCTCAACCCCTTTCCAGGTGACTTCTGGCAGTGGGCCGAACTCCAGCTCAAGAGGAATCAAGGGGATGCTTTCAGGTCCTGCTCTCATTCCAGGCATGTCGAAAGGCTCTGCACTTCTCCCCCCCGACCCCCCATCCCTGGGTGCAGACCCAGATGCTCCTCCACTAGGCTCCCTGAATGGCTTTCCTTTAGCCTGGATCTGGGGAGGATGAGCTCTGTTGCTGGTTGTTGCTTCAGGGAACAGGTTCTCCTGAAACCCCAAGGTCTGCTGTTCCCCACATCTGCAAACTTCTTATTTTGGCTCTCCTGGTAGGGTTTTCTGCAGCCAAATGTACTTGGCTCCTTTTGATTCTCAGTCCCAAGGTTCTACCCTGTTCTGGGGGCTTTTTCTCCCCTATTCCCATCCCTACCCAGTCAAATGGACAGTGGTAGAGGCTTTCTCTACCATTCCCCAAAATAAGCACATAAAGTTGGAGAATATTCAAGTAGAGGGTTCCTCGGAGAACACCCATCTAGAGCTATTTTATAGAGGCTCAGAGAGGGCAGCTGACTTGTCGAGGCTCACACAGCAGTGAATGGCACTAGACTCAGTCCTCCCCTCCCGGCCAAGCAGTCCTCCTACTTACGTCAGACCAGATGGCCATCCCTTTTTTCCCTCTATTTCCTTCTTTTTCTGCCTCTTTCTCTTCCTTTCCTTTTTTGTTGAACTATTTCCTTTTTTCCCTTTGAAATGTTCTCTCTGTGCTAAGCAGGACGGCTGGCATTTGGTGGCACCAAAGTGGCACTCGGAGCCAAGACCTCTGTCCTGGCACAGTTCTCCTTAGTCTTTCCCAAAGGCTTTTCTCTTTCCTGGTTCCTCTTCCCCCAGGATGCTCAGGGGGACCCTGTCTTCCCCTCTCCCTGAGCCAGCCTATTCAGCTCCTGTTTCTCCTTCCAAGTACTGAGGAGGCAGATGGGAACCCGCAAGGAACTGGCTCCTCTCTGTAACCTTAGTTTCCTGGTCTCGAAAGTGGAGCGAGGGTCTCTGAGGGGGAAACATGGGCATCTGTGTATGTGTGTGTGCATGCGGGCATGTGGTGTGTGTGTGTGTGTGTGTGTGTGTGTGTGTGTGTGTGCGCGTGCCTCATGTGTTCCCCGGCAGCTGGGGGGGGAGGCGGGGGAGAATGGGAAAGTTAATTAGCACCAGGATGAAAGGTGCCGTGGGATAATTACAGGTAATATCAAGATGGTCGGGAGGGTGGGGCAAAAGGCCCCTAGACCTCTGGTGGGGGTGGAGGGGATGGGGGGCAGCCCCTAGCCCCACTCCTGCAAAGTACATCAGACACCTGGAGAGGCGGGGTGGGAGGGGTGGGAAGGAGCATTCTGAGTGAAGGGTCTTTGTCTTTACAGGGAAATGCTTGTTAGTTGCTAAGGAACTGGGCTCTCTTCCCTGATCCAAGCCTCCCAATGTTTTGCTGAGCTTGGGAGGGGGATGCCGAGCTGGGGCTTGAGGATCCCTTGGCTGCCAGACCTTTTCCTGGGGCCTCTGAGACTCTGATGGGGTTTTTGGGGAGGACTCTCATCCGGGGAGGGTGGCTCTTTCCTACTACCCGTAGCCACACTGCTTGCTCCAGCCCAGGGCCCAGGTGGGGAGCAAAGCAGGTGAGGTGGAGGCAGGGAAGGAGAGGAAAACATGCATTTACTGAACAGCCTGCATGCCAAGCACTGCGCCTGGGTGCCTTGCTTGTTCTCTCATCTAACTGGAGCAAGAGAGCTTCAGGGAAGGCATTTATTTCAACGCTTTTCTTGTTATACTGTTTTTTGTTTTTTTTTTTTTTTTTTTTTTTTGCATTTGAAACACAGGTCCAGTACATTTGAGGAGTTGCCTGAGGTCACAGGGCTATCTATGGTAGAGATTCTATGTGAATTTGGCTCTGCTCAGTAAGAAAAGTTGTGCTTTTTAAAACTACACCACTTAATGCATCCACCAGGCTCACTACCTAGCCCCCCTGGCTGTTCATCTGGAACCTGGACCCACTACCACCGCCCCCCCCATCATCATCGTCACCGTCATCAGGAAGTCTTCCCATATGGCTTTCTTTCCCTTCTCCTCCACTTCTCTTCCTTCCCTGAGAGCAGCTGTCACACAGGTGAGGTTCCTGGGGAAAGGGGTGATCCCACACATTAAGGGTGGTAAAGCGTTGGGCAAGCGGGGTAGGGGGATGGGCCAGGCTGTTGCCGCGTGTGTCCAGGTGTTGGCCCTTCCCACAAATCACACTTGATCTAGAATAGCTGAAGCTAGGGGAAGGGCAGATGCTGGGTGAGACTCCCCTTAAATTCTTCTGGAACTTCAGCCTTCCTTCTCAGCCCACCTGGCTTCTGAATAAATAGAAGTTCTGGCCTTTATTTTATGTAGCCCACAGGGAGGAAAATAAGAGTACTGTTTTCTCTCTGCATAGGGAGAGTGACAGGCCCAGGTTCACAGCAGACACCATCATTACTAGTTCTGGAGCAGGGAGTAGGTCCCTTAACTTCTTGGGAATGACAGTTTCCTCATCTATACATATAGTGAGAAAAGCAACACCGACATTATCAGGTTGTTGGGAGGGTGGAATGAGAGGATCTGCGTGGAGGCCGGGAAGCTGGGCAGGAGTGGGTTACATGAGATACCACTTGTTAGGCGTCTGGCACGGCGCCTGGTGTGCAGAAAGTGCTCAACAAATACTATCTGATAACGATGATGATGATGATAGTGTCAGCTCTCCGATCCCTGCAAAGGGCTTGCTACATGTTTCCTATCTGCTTTGTTAGAGATTTCTCAGCGATCTACATGCTCATTTTGTTTCTCCCTGGAGGAGGCAGTCCAAAGAAAAGGGGCAAGAGGCCTAAAGTCTTGGGCGGGCAGAGAGCAGAGTACAGGGTGGGTTTCCCCAGGAGTCCCTGGCCCTCTTGGTTCCCTTTCCTGGCGCTGGACCTCCTTCTCTGTGGCTTTCAGGACCGTCTGGCAGGGCTGGCTTCAGCCTCAAGCCTGGGCCAGCTTTGTTCTTTTTTCACATTTTGGGGCCAGAAGGGTGGGGGTCTCTCCCGCAGCTGAACTCAAAGCCCAAAACACCAGGAGAAGAGAGGGGGGGGGGAGGAAGGAAAGCAAGCCGATAATTTCCTCGAAGGATAAACATCCGATTTTTTTTCCTCACCCAAAATAAACATGCTAGCCACAAGGAATTAAAAGCAGAAGAGGGGAGGATGTGTCTCGATTTGGGGCTGCTCTAGTAAGCTGACCTGCTATTTATCCCGGCCTTGGGCACCAACCGGAGCTGCCAATTACACTCTGGGCCTGGTGGAATGGGGGCTGCAGGGAGAAGAGCCTGGGAGTGTGAGGTTCGCACACACCCAGAATGCCCCTTCCAAGGCTGCCTTCCATGACACTGCAAATGGACACTTCCTTTTGGTTCTTCTTTTAGCCCTGCTGACAAGCTTGCCTGATAGGGTAAGAGAGGGTGAGGGAGTTCCTACTGCCTGGGCTGGCACCAAAGGCCCTTCTACAGAACCAGAATTTAGTGTCCATCACTTAGGTGGGGAGCTCAGTCTATCAATGTTGGGGGGGGGGCGGGGAAGTGTTGTCCAATTCTCTTCCCAGACTCAGGCTCCCACCTCATGGCCTTCTTCAGATGGCCGGCACTCAAATCTTCCAACCAGTTAAGATATGTTCAGCTGGGCTGAGTGGTTGGCCAGGGCACCTCTGCCTTCCAGCTAGTGCAGGGCATGGCTCTGAGAAGGTAATAACCCTGTGCCCAGCTGCAGCCTGCCTCTTTCATCTGGGGATCTCAAGGCACTCTGTACACGTGAGTCACTGACATTGCTGTATTCTGGCCAAGTAGAGGGGTGTTATTCACTCTTGGAGGGAAACTGAGTTGGGGGGGACATGGTGAAGTGTTGGGGGGTGCTAAGAGGACTGGAGCTGGGCGTAGGGGAGTCAAGGAACCAGAGTTCAGCCTGTGAGTGAGACCATGGCAAAAGAGGTACCTCCAAGGGGGCCTTGGGTGGAAGAGCCAAGCAACCTTCAGAGGGCATCCAGGGGAGTGAGGCACTAAAAATCCTTGCCTCAAAGACACCAAGGAGTTTCTTCATAGTTTTGTAAAAGCGTAAATCATATTGCACCCCTACTTCCCCTCCAATCTAGTTATTATCCAGTGGTTTCCCATTGCTTTCAAGGTACAACCCCAAACTTCAGCATGGCTGCAAGACCAGGCATGTTCTGGTCTTTGCCCATCTGTCCAGGTGGCCATACTATTGGCCTAGAAGATGCCATGCAAGCCCTCCTGGAAGATGCCGGAGCTAAGAGGTGATGTTCCCTCTCTTTGGCATGGTCTCCCACCTCCATCCCCATTCACAGTTAACTCCTTCCACATTTTTCAGTCCTGAGTTAGACACCACTTCCTCTGAGAGGCCTTGCCTGGGCCTTTACTGTGCACCCTGGCATGCAGAGCAGGTCCCCTTACACCCTCATAACACGTACCACATTCGTTGCAATTTGCTTGTGGCCATCTGATGAACCTTTCCCTCCCAGCCTGGACTGTAAACTCCTGAAGCAAGCCCTAGGTTTTGTCTGCCCTGTTCACATATGGATCCCTAGCACCTAGCAGGTCAGGCACATGCGTACGAGGTGCCAACAACATCTGTTGGATGTCAGAGTTGGAAAGGACTGTGGTGATAAACCAACTGCTCCAACTCTCCATCTTACCTTGGTTTCACAATCGAGGAAGCAGAACTTTAGGGAGGACATGAGATTTGCTCAAGGCCACACAGTGCCTCAGTGACAGTTGAGGCCTAGGGACCCCCACTTCCTGCCTCTCCATCTACCCCAACACCCTGCCCCCCCCCCCAACTCGCATTTATAGGAAAACCCCAGGGCTGGACATTGATTAATCTCTTCTCAGTTTTTGAAAGACGACAGGTTAGGAAAGAACACATCCAACCAGTCTGCCCTGGATGATTTTTTTTTTTTTAATTTGGGAGAGAAGGGGTTCCCTACCCAGAGAGGGTTCTACACTCAGACCGACTGGCGGGGCATGGTGGACACACACATCTGCAGCGCGAAGCCTGATGTCTGGCAGGCAGTTGTCTCTATTTGGGTTTGTCCCTGGGCTCCGAGCTTCCTGTTCCGGGAGTCTGGTAACTTGGCGAGTCCTGGTAATTTTGGGTCATGAATTGGGTGCTTGCTTCTGGTTCGCTCAGGTGGAAGCGGTTCAGGAATTTGTCCATTTTCCAAGAGGCTGGAAGGACAAACAGACCAGAGGAAGGCAGTGAGAGACAACCATGGACAGGGAGCTGGCAGGGTCTGAGAGGAAGGCCACCTCTGGGGAAGTGGAGGCAGCAGGTGAGGACGTTGGCCCTAGGGCCCAGGGTGTCAGAGCGCCTGGGCGTGCCTTCTGGGTCCTAGCTGGATGTTAGCAGAGTGCCTGAGAAGCAGTGGGAACTGAGTCTGGACTAGGTCAAGCACTGCCTTTGGTTGCCATAACCCTGCCTCCTCACTCACATGTAGAAAGGAAGTGCCCGGTCGGGTAGGCTGCGCACTTCCTCTACCCACCCTTCTTTTTCCGCAGGCTCTCCTGACCCCATGATTGAGGCCTACATGCTTCTTTCCTTCACGCCTGATCACCCCAGCTGCTGGGGCTAAGACTGGCCCAAGCATCCGTGTCCTTCTTCCATTCTCCTCCCAGAAGCCCAGCTGCGGCAGAGGTGGAGGGGAAGGGCTCTCCTCACTCCTGAGCACCTGCATCCCGCGGGAGCAGAGCATGCGTGAGAAGTCCCCAGCTGGTGCCCAGGTGCTCCGCAAGGGGAGAAAGCACAGGGGTGCAGGGGGAGGTGCCTCTCCTGGGGCGAGTGTGGACAGGCCCAGCAGCAGGGCAAGGAGGGCATAGCCCCGGGCACTGGGGAGAAGCTGCGGGAAGTGGTCAAAAACGTATTCCCACGGTCCTGTTTCCCAAACCCTGGGCCTCAGGCACCCTCTGGGCACAATTGCCAACTACAATACAGGATGTCCAGCTTAACCTGAATCTGAGATAAACAACAAATAATTCATAAGCACGTCCCACATGTTGCATGAAGCATACTTAAAAACTCATTCCTTGTTTATCTGAAATTCACGTTTAACTGGGCATCCTGTTTTCTTTTTCTTTTTGGCTAAATCTACGAACCTTCTTTGGGTGGAGGGAGTGCTCAGGGAAGACCCTGCCTGGAGCAGAGCGAGACAGTGAGACAGTTACTGATATGCCCTGCCCTGGTCCTCCTGGTCGGGGGGGGGGGGGGGGTAATCTCGAATATGCACAGAGAAAGCAGGGCAAGGGTGGCAGCTGAGCATTCCTCTCAGAGCTGCCATTTATCTGCCTGTGGTCCTCTGTCTGCACCCGCTACCCTTTTTAACAAGGAAGATAGCAAGTCCCTTGAAGTGCTGTTCTTCCACTTAACATCCTTCCTCCCCTACCCTGGGGCTATTTGTACTTCAAAAGTGTTTTCAAGGAAAAAAAGTTTTAATCCGAAGAAACAAGACAATAATAATGATAATGCAAATAATAATAATAGTAATAACACATCTATATCGTGCTTCCTATGCGCCAGGAACTCCATGCATATTCATACACTTAATCCTCACAAGGGGGGACTATTTTTATCCCCAGTGCACAGATGGGAGGATGGGGCACAAGATGGGGTTCCGGTGAGGATGCTTCTTAGGGGCAGGGATGCAGGGAAGGGCCTCTTCAGGTCCCCACAGGTCCCATCTGGTGACTGCATGCTCAGATTAGGGAGAGAGGCCCTGGGTCCTGGGAGACCCTCTCCTGGGGGAAGGCTGCTGCTGGGTGACGACAGGTGGGTGTTTGAGTGCTGTGGGGTCTTCCACTGGGAGGGGAGGCAGGGAGGCCCTGGCCTGGCACGGTCTTCACACCCAGAGAGCCTGGCTGGTTGGAAAAGAACTGGTGGTACCGTGATCCTGGGAAAGTTTGTGCATGTGTGTATTCGTGTGTGTGTGTGTGTGTGTGTGTGTGCATTTGCAAGCCAGGAAAAGTGCTCATGGGTGAACTGGTATGTGACTGGCATGTGGACAAGGGGGCCTTCCCCACCGAGTAGGGCAGGAAGAAACCTCGGTGGGCAGGAAGGAATTGAAACTCTCATCACGAGATCAGGGTGAGCGGTGGAAAGAAATCCCCTGTACCCTGAGGGAGACCTGGCTCCCCTCCCTCGGACCTTGCCCTTCTCTAGCTCAGAGGACTTCTCCTGATTGAGCTTGGATTGCCCTAAGGGCCTCACAGCTCCTTCCTGGTCACAGTTCCGACAAGGCTGTGGTTCTTGGGCAGCTCCTCAAACCAGCCCGTGTCCCTCAGGAGAGCGAGGACAGCTTGCTAGCCTCCTACTGCCTCCTCCCCTGGCTGGGCCCTGACTCCTCACACCCCCATTTCCTTCCACAAAGGGCAAGAGGAACTGACCCTGTGCAAGTTCTAGAAGGAAGAAGGGTGAGTCAGGCCCTTAGGGGTGTGTGTGGGGAGAGATGGGGAGCTCAGAGGCTGTGGCTTCGTGGTCACCATGTGGAGGAAAGTCCCATCCTGTATGGCACTGCTCCATCTTGGAGCTGCAGAGGCTGCTACCCTGCAGGAAGAGGGTGGTGCTGCTGTCTTGGTGCAGGCCACTCCCCTCGTACCCTCGTACCCTCGGGCCCACCCAGGATGGGCTCTTCCTAGGCCCAGGGCAGGGGTAGTGAGTGAGGGAGAAAGGAGGAGGATGTCTGCTGCCTGTTTCCTGAGCAGCCCAGTGGCTGGAACACTGGGGCCTGGTCTCCTCAGGGTGGGGCTGCTGTGTAGGATGTGCCAGATGTTCTCTGCACAACCCTGGGGGCACCATTCCCATCCCGGGAAGCCTTATGCCTTGGCTGTGCCTAGAGGCCAGTCTCTCCCCTACTGGTTGGTGCTGATAGGGAAGATGTTGGTGATGAAGGATGCTGGATGTGAGAGATATTCCAGAAATGGGCCAAGAGGAGAGCGGGGTGAGCTTACCTAAAGCCATCAGGGGTTTCTGAGCCACCACTGGGTGCCCAATCTCTCCTAGACAGTGACTTCAACAATTGGGAGAGGGCTCCGAGATTTCAGCTACTCATCCTCCCAGATTGAGTCTCAGGAGCTGCGATGGCTAGAAAGTTCTGGAATCACCCTGGGGCAGGTCTGATAGTCATTCTCTGCCCCCAGCTTCCCCAGGCTGTGGGGTTGGCTTAGCACTGTTTGGGAGTGGTTCATCACATGGGATTGGACAGCCCTCTTGGGCCTATCAGGGTTAAATAGGCATCCCAGGACTGAGAAATATTCTTCTGGTCTGGTTCCTCCCCCTTAGAGGACTTGTGGGAATGGGGTGGACGGCTCTTCTGCTAGAACGAGCAACCTCTGGGCTGAGGGCAATCTGACGGCCCGACTGATAGCTGCTTCCCCGTGTCTGCTGGGCATACAGCGGATTTGCTTGCGTCGAGGTCCTACTCCTTCCCTCAACAGGTTTATAATACAAGACAACGAACACTGGACTAGTAACAAGCTAGGCCTTGGCCAGTAGCACAACTTTGCAGCTCCTGGCAGATGGGGTCCCATTCTTAGCATCACACCTGGTCTCTTTAGCAGGCTCATTCTTAAGACTTCCCAGGGGCACAGGGCAGTGTTTCCCGTGTGTCCTCACTCTAGCCAAGGGACATCTCCCACCTGACTTGCCATTTGGTCCTCAGGGGGCCCTCAAGCGTCTCCCTCTCAGCCCAGGAAGTAGGGGTTGGGAAGCCCCCACTGGGACGGAGACCTCCACTCAGGTGGGCTGCAGAACAAGTGGGCAGGGTCCTGAGACTTGGGGTCTCCCTCCCCTGAGCTGTTTTGTGAGCTGAGCTGCTTGGGCCTCTATTGTGAGGAGCAGCTGCCCTGTCCTGCAAGGCAGGCGAGTTGTGTCTAACCAAGGCGGCCACCTCTTCCCTGTCTCCCCGCCACCTCACCCACCCCTTTCCCTAGGGACACCATTGCTTCTTGTCAGGGGATAGTGGCCCTGAAGAAAGAACAAAAATTGAACACGAGCCTAATAACCGCCCCATCGAGCGCCCGGCTCAGGTCTGTAATTTGTCTGGTTCTTCGCGGGGCTGGCTGCATGATAGAAGCACTGATGCCTTTCTGCTGAGATTAATGATGTCCTGGCGGTGGTAGGCGGGAGGCCTGGGCCTCTTATTTTTTGTGCCATTAAATGACATCCGGAGACTTCCACTCAGGAGCTGAAAAGCCCTCGTTCCATCACATCCAATTACTCCTGGAGAATATTTGCTGAGTGGCTGATCCTGCTGGCTTGAGAGGCTTGGGGCAGAGGGGACCACTTTGACTTTGGTAGAAGTGAGGATAGGGATGCTGGGGGAGGGGGGAGGGGGGAGGGTCCGGAGGTGGGCAGGGGTTACCCGGCTCTTCTGGAGCGCTCCAGAGGGCTGGAGAGTAGAAGTGCAATTCCTATTTACCCAGTAAATGGATCACCCATGCCTCCCTTTCCAGAAGGGTGGGGGGGGGGGTCGGGTGGGGAAGGGGGTGGGAGAGAAGGCGAGAAGGCTCCGAGCTGTCAATTTCAGCTTCCGGTGATCAATTCCAGGATTTGCTGGTGGTAGCTGGCTGGAGTTCTGGCTGAAATTTGGGGATAGTCTGTGGTTTCCCGATGATCTGTTCAATACTGCCTTGGACGGGTGATGTTTGGCTTGACCGGGGCGTGCTTCCTGAAGAGGGCTGCCTGCGGCCCGTGGAGGGTGCAGGCAGTTCCCAGCCGGGGTGCCTGTCTGAGAATTGCCCAGGATGGCCCCATCTGGGTTGCTGCCAGACCCCCAGTCCTACCCGCTCTGCCAGGTGGGTGGGGCCCTTGGGAGGCAGAAGAGGGCTGCCTGACACAAGCCCACACAGTGACTCAGGGGCTGGGCCCCGGGGGGTTCTGGGGCCAGGCCAGGTGAACCACCATGGGAGGTCATGGCAGGGGGGAGGGGCTGTTTTGCAGTGGGCTGTGTGTGTTTGTGTGTGTCTCTGTGTGTGTTTGGGGCTGGTCTGCAGGCGGGGGCCCCCTTCCTTCCATCTTTGCCCACACCATGTACTTTTTCCTCGCTGCCACCAGGCCTGGCAAGATTTTCTCCCAGCCTCTGTCCCTCCCCATCAATGTCTCCTATGTTGACACTGCTTGGAGTTCTGCTGCCTTCCTGCCCTTGCCTTGTGCTTTCAAACATTTCCCCTGCAAAGCC